CCCCTTTTGCCCCCCCCCCCCCTTTGGACGTCTCTAGATCAGTCCCTGACAGTCGTCTCAGACTTGTTTCCCTCTAAAGCTCTGTCCAGATTATCAAATTTCCTTTGAAAAAAACTGTTGTATGACCATAGATATTCATGACGTGCCTATATATGGTCATGATGTGATGTCATCATGATACTTCTACCCACGGTGAGACAACACACCCAGTCTTCCTTATCGTGTACACAACCTATTACTCCATGTTACACCTTTCTCTACCCTTTATCTACCAATTTCTCAACACTTCCCACCATTATCACCCTTCTGCACCCATTGCCATACCGTCAAGGGATGAACCAGAATTGTGTTCATTCTATTTACACTCATTACTTTGACAAAAATACTTCTACCCACGGTGAGACAACACACCCAGTCTTCCTTATCGTGTACACAACCTATTACTCCATGTTACACCTTTCTCTACCCCTGTCTCTTATACACATCTAGATGTGTATAAGAGACAGGAACAGTTACAGTTTCTGACGCTATGGGAAAAACATCTCAACGATATGTACAATTGTCTATTGATTGCTAATTAAGTATTGGTATAGGTATCAATCGGTATATAAACCTTCCTGCATTTTTGTACTGAACTTTTTATTTATTTTGCCTAACGCATGCCGATGTAGATTGGATCGAAATCGTCAAGTAACCCAGGTATCTACTTCCAAGGAGGAATTCACGCAAGAGAATGGATTTCACCCGCCACTATGATGAATCTTGCCAGAAAGGTAATGTAAATTGTGACCTATAATTTGACTATTAATATTCTTTAAATTTGGGCCTACATTAATTTATTAAACGTTACCTTTTACTGAATTAAATAAAAAGCATCATTGCTCCACTCCATTAAAAAATCATTCTAACACCAACAGCAAAAGAAATTGCGACTAGACTTAAAATATATATATATATAGAGAGAGAGCATAGTATACAAGTAACTATAAATAAATACACTATTACAACTACAGCCAAAATACGTGAAATCAATTAAACCGTTGTCAGAACAAACAAAAAAATCCACAGAATATATTTATTTCTACAGATAAGTTCGGTAAAAGAACTGAATATATAAATTTCAGAGAAGACGTTAACATATTATTAATGATGATAAACGAAACCATTTTTCAATATTTCATTAATAGAATTTTAAAAAAACAGTTAAATAAGGGAAAACGTTAAATTATGTTGTCATTAAGTTCGAGACCGATATAGCGCAAAAGTTTAGTGTGTATTCTTGTGAATGTTTTTATTGAGCCTATCCGCTTAATTTAATACTAATAATCAAATATAGGCTATGATATAATATAAATGCCCTGTCTGTTTTTTTCCACACCGTTTTTCTCTTTTGATCGTCTTATTAGCTTATTGACGATTATGGTTCAGACAGCACTATAAAGAAAGTTCTGGATTCTTACGACTTGTACATTGTGCCAACTCTCAACGTAGATGGTTATGTGTACACATGGACAAATGTATGTATCATTATTCAAATTTGCAATTTTTGGAATAATATAATAATTAGTCTTGTTATTTGGAAATGGCTCATGGTTCTTTAAATAAAGGGCAAATCATAAATTTAAGTCTGTAATTGTGTTCATTCTATTTACACACATTACTTTGACAAAAATACTTCTACCCACGCTGAGACAACACACCCAGTCTTTCCTATCGTGTACACAACCTATTACTCCATGTTACACCTTTCTCTACCCTTTATCTACCAATTTCTCAACACTTCCCACCATTATCACCCTTCTGCACCCATTGCCATACCGTCAAGGGATGAACCAGAATTGTGTTCATTCTATTTACACTCATTACTTTGACAAAAATACTTCTACCCACGGTGAGACAACACACCCAGTCTTCCTTATCGTGTACACAACCTATTACTCCATGTTACACCTTTCTCTACCCTTTATCTACCAATTTCTCAACACTTCCCACCATTATCACCCTTCTGCACCCATTGCCATACCTTCAAGGGTGGACCAGAATATTTGAAACGAGGGGCACCAATTTCATAATGGGCTTATAAGATGTATCAACACTAATGATTCGTTTTCAGTATATGTATTTGTATGTCATTTTGTATCTTTTCTGTTAAAAAATATAAGACGGCAGTGGCAAAACCGGGGGCAAAACTGGGGAAACTTGTCCCGTACCCCTCCCCTCCCCCCCCCACCCTGCCTCCTCGGAACCCGCCCCTGCCTTCGCATTCAACAACATTTCGTTCTATGAATTCTCTTACTCTATATTAGGACCGAATGTGGAGGAAGAATCGGATGAACTACGGAACAGCTTGTACTGGCATTGATTTGAACAGGAACTACCCAACTGGATTCGGAGGTAATTGGCATAGGTAGATTCGAAGGCGAGGGCATGGCCTCCTTTCTAACTTCAATAAAGTATATAAAAAATATTTTAAAAAAGAAAAGTAAGTAATATCCAAATTCTAGTCGAGTGCCATTTCCAGCCATCTAGGAGTGCCATAATCATACAATTTCGCACTCAACCCCAACCATGGTGGGGCTAAGGTTGTCTACACCCCTCAAAATCACTGTCAAAATACCTCCCTCGGCCTCCATTAAATCGAATTCCTAGATCCGCCAAGCTGGAGAGTAATTTGCTGTTGGGTGTGAATGAAATAAAAAAAACTGTTGTTTGTTTATTTTGTAGAAATAATGACAGATATGAATTAAATAAAATCGTGAGTACTCCACGTTACGCAACACACTTGTACTTATCTGGTGATCTGATTTTTAAATGTAAATTATCTGTTTACAGGTACGGGAGCAAGCAGCAACCCATGTTTTGAAACGTACCACGGACCTAGCCCCATCTCTGAAGTTGAGATGCAACATGTTACCTCGTTCTTCCTCAACAAGGTTGCCGCTGGACAGACCTTCCAACTGTTCATTGATTTCCACGCATACGGGCAACTGTGGCTCTATCCATGGGGATATAGCCGTGTGGCACCAATTGTTAACGACAGTGACGATCTGGTACATATTATCACGTGACAATTATTTAAGATTTTAAATTGTTATTTTAAAAACGCAATTGCGTATCTACTGGCACCTGGCACGCCGATAGAAACTTGCTTAGAAAAAAAAACAACTTTTAAATAGTTCCCCCACCCCTCCCCCTCCATCATGTCCATCCTTCCTAGGGTGCGTTCGAGCCAGAAAAATATCCGTGCGAGGTCGTGTATTTACACGGAAGTTAAATGCCGTGCGTGGCTCGAACGGGGGTAAGATGTAAAAAACATCTGGAACACGCTCGCCTATTTTGACCACCAAATTTAGGGTTATAGAACCGTGTATCGCTGTC